GGTAATTGTCCAAACTGATTCATAGTTTTGTCTCTTTAATTTTTGATTAAAAATGACAAAGAGTGAGAAAACAAAATAAACAAGAAGAAAAATTTTTGGGACAAAGATTTGGTTTGTGACTGTTTATGAGATTGACATTTGACAGGTTTGGTTACGTCTCGGATACAAGAAACACTTGCAATACATTGCTAGCGGTAGCTTTTTGGTGTTCTAATTAATTTTGTGATCGGCAGTGGAACTTAAGGGTTGATGACAATGACGATGGTTTAAGTCTCCAATAATATTTTGCCTAAAGTTTCCGCGCAATACTTCTCTATCTAGAAATAAAACATTCAAGATAGAATTGAGAACATAGCATTCTTGGCTATTTTCCACTTGCAATTTTAAATACTGTAATGAGACTGCAGTATTTTAAATGGATACGATACGTGAAAAAGATTGAATACTTATTCATTATCTTGTAGGATTGTTTCAGAATTGTAGAACTTTTCAAAGTTACATAGGTAAAATTTTTAAATATCTTTATGTTTAATGATACACAACAACGGTTCATTTTAGACTGTAAACTGGCAAACAGCCAAAATAAATATGCTGCATAAACTGTAAAATACCTATTGATAGATTATGTAAGTAACTTAAAATAAGTTATAATGCCTTAGGTGATTGGTGATTGTTATTCAAGAAAGCATTTCTTTTTGTCATTTTTTGTATTTTACTGCATTGTTATTCCGTTACTTATACTTGCTTTGTTTCCCATGTAGTGCAGCGTAGTTCAAATATGTAATTGTTAATTCCAAGTTATTATAAATAAATTGTTCTTATTTTTATTAAAGTCAACAACAAATAATCATTTATTCCACTGTACTGACTTCCCTGAGAAGAACGAGCAACAACTTAAATGCTATGGAAAATAAATACACTTTGAATCACATTTGTGTGGAATCTAGACTCATGTTGACTTTCCATACATCTTTATCTAACGCGTAGTCTACAATTTTTTAATATAACTTTTCAATTAATTATTATAATGGAAATGGTTACCGCCATTGATAGACATTGACGATTCTAAATAAATATCGTGAATATCGTAGCCGATTGCGGAGCGTAAGATCTCGTCACGATGTTTTACTACACAGGAAGGTTCATGGTGAATTTCAAATAAAATTTCGCACATAAATTTGCCTGGATTTGAACCTACGACCTCTGTTTGGCTACCACCGATTCTTGTTTACCGGACATAAACAGTTTTAGCTTATGCTAGTTTCTCGTTGCTAGAGTTCCATAGCTCAAGCGTCATGAAAAGCATCTTTTGTTGAGGCAGTCTGTTACATAATTATTCGAAAAAAACTAATCTTGCTTGATTGTCGGACAGAAAAAATAGCATTCGACGACGGCGACGTCCGCTTTTGAAATAAGAATAAAAACTTCTGACGTATGACTGTATGACATAATATTAAAGGCAATGGAATCTTCTCATGATTCCGAGGCATCGATGTACTCGATGTTTCGAGGGGTCAAAAATCTTGTCCGTAGGTTGTGTTCAAAGAGAAACATCTAGAAGCTTTGCGGTTTATCTTCCATACACAATGCTTGATTGACACAAGCATATATGCTGAAATTTAATCTGAAATTGGTTATTCGATATCTCGATTAGCCCTAGAGATATTAATGTTTGTGGTAACAGTTCGTTTCTTTTTAACAAAACTATCATCATCAGTCTGTAGTTTGTAAATAGATAGATAAATCTTTATTGCTAGCACCACAAACAGAAAGATTACAGGACAAAAATAAAACCCATTAGCAGGGTAACTTTTTGCGATTTCTTTCAGGCAACTTTAGGATGGAGAGAGATTTAATATGAATAAAAGCGGGAGTGCCAGATATAAATAATTATACAGACGTATAGAAATTATTAAACAATATATATACATACATACATAACAATATATATATATATATTAGAATGCACTTATGAAATAATTACAATGAAACAAAAAACTTTATAAATTAAATTTATGATTTACCTAATGAAAAAGTAATTACGCATATCACTTTTGTTTTGTTTGATTAACTTTCAAAAACCCATTTTTTATTAATTTATTATTATCGGTTTGTAAATAATAAGTACTTGGTCAATTTTGTTAGCGTTCATTTAGACATGAGTAAACTACACAATACGTAGGTAGTTTTCATTTCATGTGTTACTTTTTGATCGTAGAGAATTGTATTGAGAGAAAAATTGAAGAGAAATATAACTAAGTTACACTTCCTCTGATCTTTTAGACATTGACGTTCACGGGGCGGCTTAGCACGGGATCCTTCGACATCTCTGCATGCAAGCGCACACTGACAGCGCCTTACGGTGACGGTGCCTTAACACAGCATGCTGCGCTATCTCTAGACACGACTCGGCATCCTTCAGCGGCAGCGTGCCGAAGCGTCCTTAGGCATGTCGTAGCATGGCGTCGCGATGTCGAGCTCGGGGCGTCCCGCCTGACCTCGTTTCAGATCTTTGCCTCCCTTTCGCCCTTCACACCCGTACAGCCGCACTCGGCGTCCCAAAGCCTGCTGAAGCATCTCGAAGGCTGCCAAGGCTTCCGGAGGCTGCCGGCTTGGCATCACTAAGCATGCTGCAGCTACGATATTTATCATTGAAATTGCATATATTATAATGTCGTATTTTTAAGGTATAACACTATTCGTCAATTACAAATCCCTTGCCGTCCTGTCCCGTCCCGTCTGTGGGTCTAATTGTGTAATTCTAATCAAGCTAATTTTTACGGAGTGTAGTACCAAATCAAGAAGATATCAAGTTTGGATTCTGGACTTTGGACCGTTCTTACAGAAAGCGGCATAGAGTAGATCTTAAGTTCACACTTAAGATTGAAATTTAAGCTTGACATGACGTATACTTGACAATGTACACCACTTTTTTTACTTTGTGCTCTGTACTATAGTTAATGAAACATAGATAGATTATTTAAAGCTCAGGCTTATATTTAGACGCAGAGCGAAATAAATCTGGTAGACAATTTAAGATTAGAATTGTCCGTGTTGGAATTTTATAAAACGGTTACAAGATAAAATGTCGTTGTTTATAAAAACTCTACTAGAAAAAATGAATGACAATCGAACTTGATGTGAATTTCTTTTTAATATCCTATTTCATTACTAAAAATCATTTGTCTTTTTTTATCGTTCTATAGTATAATAAATATATTATTCATTCATTCATTTCATTTATTTATTTTTATTTTGTAATTTTTGTATTAACAGTAGAATATATAGCTTTATAAGTGTGCTAACAAAATGGACTGTATATTGTCTGCAATAAATGATTTTTATTTTTATTTTATTTATTTATAGATTATAGACACTATTTTTTGTATGGACTTCGGTGTTGCATATTCACTCATTTAGCATTACGTTTAATACAATAATAATGTGCCAGACAACCACACCAATTGCTTGGACTCAAACTAGGGAATTCCTTGCACTTCATAAGTGCCAGAGCAACGGAATTCACTCTGGAGCACTTCTCAGAACACCCAGACCAGAACCAATTTACAAAAGTTCATTTCCCAATTTAATTCTACCGGCAATCGAACTTGGGACCTTCTCATCCAGCGCCCACAGTGTAAGCCGTTGGGCCACCGAGGTCTTAAAATTACGAAATTAAAACAAATTAAAACGTCATGAAAGCAAGTCCATCTCCTGTACAATTACGTCAGTGTAGTAGCAAATGAACAAATTTGCTGTTTATTTTAAATTTAACTGGCCGAATGGCCGAACGGTTACCATGCCGGATTGCCACGCAGACGTCCCAGATTCGATTCTCGGGCCGGGAGAAATATTTGTATGGCTTACCTTTCTTTCTCTCGTGACTTTGGGTGTGATTTGAGGTTGTCAATGTGGGTGTCTATGGCACCCGCGACACAGGGTTTCCCTAGTGTGTGGCTATGTTGAGTGTGAGCGTTATTATTATTAAAAAAATTCGAAACATTACATAACTATCTACATAACAGAACACTACATAACTAATATTATATGTCTATTTGTGGTCATTCACAAATTATCCCTAGCCAACAAAGCGCTTATTTCAGGTTCGCGCTATTTCTAATAATTTGTGTATGTTTCATTAAATTTCTAGTTGATTTAAAAAGAAAATATTAAAAATATAAATACAGTAAAAAAGTATTATATATTAGACAATTACACTAGTTCCCTGGTCTCGGTCTGGCGAAGTTAAATCCACCACTATTCTGTACGCCCAAACCGCAACGACTTTAGAACAGCTCGTTGAACCTTGGTCGTGACGGGACGGGAACGATTTGGGGCCTTCTTTTCTTATCTAGCATTTACAATTCTGGCCAACAAAGTAGTCTGTTCATTGATTGATAGGAATCTTTAAAGAAATAAGTTTAATAGTACCTTTTTTTAATATTAACAAATGACGTACTATTTTATATTTGGGAATAACAATTAAAATGCTCTACAAATAAAATTACGACAAAAAAACATAAATAATATATTATTTTAGGTTTTATTTTATGGTAGAAGTGATGGAACGAACAAGTCGTGCGTCTGGTCGTAAGCGGTACGTCTGTCTATAGCAGTTGTAGTGACACTCAGTTTTATATCGCAAAGATCTGACGAGCAATGGCACTGCGCCTGTCACCATGAAACATAAGTTGACAAGTCCCACGCGCCTGTAATCCTTCAAAACCAGAATGCATTAATGCTTGCATTATTTCTTGGCGACAGACGAACTCTCACAAGCTCTACTGCTACTAAAAAAGAGCTCTACTAGTTTAGTGATTTCTCAAATACTCGTTTTCACTTCGTGAGTAGACTAGCATTAGCAGCATTAGCACAGTCAGTGTTAGGTAAACAGTCACAGTAAACAGGTGAAGTACTTTATCCTCTGGTCGCATCAGCATCAGCTTAAATTTGAAGAGAATAAATATTTTTTAAATTTAATTAATTTATGAACAACTCACCTAGTATTCTTGTCACGCATTGTGAAATTTGTTGCCTACAATTATAAAAAACTAACAACTATAAATAAATGAAATACAAAAACTTGTAGGTATTAGTCCTTACTTTCACTTCTGATTTCGTAACATGCGCCAAATGGCTATAATAAAATCGTTTGAGTAGTTTAAAGTTTTAATTCACTAGCCGGTTTTTATACGGGTGTAGAAAACATTGTTTTGTGAGATCGATAACGCGGGTTTTGCGGCGCGCTGCTTAATGCGGCTAGCGGGCGGTGCGCCGAGAGTCGTGGGTAGACTGTGAGAGAATCGTGGCGCGTCACAGTGGTCGCAGGGTACCGCTCGTGACGTCATCTAGCCGTGTCAATCAATGCGCATGGCCTTGAACTATCAAACGTGAGAATAAGCTCATGTTTTAATGCATATAGTAGCACAACGATATCAGCTGATGTATACGTGACTTTGAAGGAATTTGGCAGAGCCTTTAAGTTGTGATTAAATACTCGTATGACTCCGAATGGGTCAGAGTAATATGTTAAGATATATTTTACGTAAGTTGCAACATGTATTATTATTGTTTTCATGTAAATTATTTAATTGAACTGTGCAGGGCGGTCATGAGCACGTCAGGCTTGAAATGATTAAAATTCAGTGACATTGAATTCAAATATCACGTTTCGAACTTGACATGCTCTTGACCATGGATGTGTATTAACTTAATACATCCACGCTTTTGACTGCACCGTCTCTTTGCCACATTCACATAGGCCACGTTGTTGACAATTTAATATACAATTTTAATAACTTAATGTACGTGGTATTGTGCAATTCTTAACGCAATGTGTAATGTACGTACTATATCCATAACTGTTTAGGTAGCGTTTTCGTTAAACTAACTTTACATTTTATTATAACATCAAGTAACGGGACGAACAAGTCGTGCGCCTCATGGTGAGCTACACGCCTGTCCAGAACAGTTACAGTGCCACTCCACTGCGCCCATCACCCTGAGACATAACTTGACAAGTCTCATGTGCCTGTAATTTCATCAGCACTCTTACCCTTCAAAACCGGAACACAGTAACGACGACATTACCTCTTGGCGGCAGAAATAGGTAAGGTGGCAGTACTACGCTGGATGAACGCTTCCACAAGGAGCTCTACTGCTACTAAATAATATATACCTTAAGGACTAACATACATACAATATGATAAAACACTATTTCTAACTAATCTACACGAATTGCACTTGTCGGCTACGTGTGGCGCAATCTGGTGTCAGGTAACCGGCCGCGGAATCGCCGATAAAGGACACCCTTCGGCAAAACTCTTCCTTCATGAAGTCCGGTGTTCGGTCGGTACTCTCACCACAAACGAATAGAAATTCGCAAGAATTCGGGAGAAATATTTGTATGGCCTACATTAATTTCTCTCGTGAGTTTGGGTGTAATTTGTGGTTGTCTATGTGTGTGTCCATGGCACCCGCGACACAGAGTATCCGTAGTGCGGGGCTATGTTGAGTCTGGCGTTATTATTGTTACATTGTCACATGTAGGTACTACACTATCTCCTCAGACCTCGTGGTGTAATGCAATCGCGACAGGTACAGCAGCGTCGTCTGTATGGCCGGACGCAGCAGGAAGTTCGGTCCTATCGGTGCTGTGCCACACTGGTTGCGGCCGGTGGGCTTCTTCTTCTTCTTCTCCACTTTCATGTGGCCGTCTTCGTCGCACCGGTCCATATGCCTCTGTGGTTTTCCAACTTCAGAGACAGGCACACGGGGATTACTTTTTCTTTTAGTAGATTGCCGTCGCTCGTGTTTCAAAGTAGCAGGTCGGCTACTTGAAGCGGCTACAGCGGCGTATGCACGTGTAGGGGTAGACGTGCATATGCGTGACGTTTCCGACGAGGCGGAGGGGCGGGCACCGGAGCGCGGTACATCACGCGCGGTGGCAACAGTGATCGATGCATTCGAATGTGAACTCGACACTACAAATGGATGCGTTTTGAGCCCCACGACGCATGTTTACAGTAGAGGCTTGTGGTGACCTATATACCGAAGCAGCGTTGCTTAATAACGCAACTTGGGTACGCAGCTCACTTACGGTGTTATCCAAAAGCCTCTAATTTACATTACACTATGCTCGACTTCAAGAACGTAATGTCCTTCAGCAGCCTAGTGACATCAACGTGGTCAAACGTGACTGAGGGCAGCTTGTGCAACTCCTTTGCCACGAATGTGGGCACGTCGTCCGGGTCAGTCTATTTTAGGAGTGTGGTGATATCCTGGAGACTCTTCACGCCTCTGTCCCTCCGGCGAGGTGGCATCTGTTCGGCTTAACCGAGGCTCTGGAACAATAGCATCTTGCCACTGCAAATCTAATCCTCATTGAAATTTGATTTGCAGAACTGCACAATGCTAACTTCGTAAATGGTGTCGATGGCGTGTTGAATAAACGCCAGGTGCTCATTGGCAATGAGTTGCTGGGAAACCATAGTCAATTACGCGCAGCGGCCTGTGCCGCGCGAGACGTGAGTTATAATTAATAATTAACTCACTGCGTAGTGGATTGTCCGTTTCCGAACGCGCATTGCACTGCACTTTTGTGTAATTATGCTATCTATTGAATTTATAATGTTGGTAGTGAAATGTTTGTCGCAGCCGCTAACGACAAATATTTGACATTTCGTGTTTCATTCATAAACAAATACATTTCGATACCTCTCACGTAAGTTGTAAATCAAAATGCCATTTTTTGCTTTTTTTTTAACTTAAAAATTATATCTATTTTGTATAGTATAGATTCCATATTTAAAAATAAGGATAACACTAAGTAGTTTCTTTACTTTTAAATATGGAACCTTTATTATACATACAATAACTGCCTCCGTGGCCGAACGGTTACCATGCCGGACTGCCATGCAGAGGTCCCAGGTTCGATTCCCGGGTCGGGAGAAATATTTGTATGGCCTACATTTATTTGTCTCGTGAGTTTGGGTGTAATTTGTGGTTGTCTACGTGTGTGTCCATGGCACCCGCGACACAGGGTATCCCTAGTGCGGGGTTATGTTGAGTGTGTACGTTATTATTTATTATTAATAACAATCAGTACAGAGTACTAAAAAAACCGATCTCAAAAGTAATTCATCCCCTAGTTTGTCACCCTTAGAGGTGGAATATTTTCTTCAAATTTAAATGGGACCACATCTGAAGTACATGGTATTGCAAGATGCTGTTGTTCGAGAGCCTCGGCAAAGCTGAGCAGATGCCATCTCGCCGGAGGGATGGAGGCGTGAAGAGTCTCCAGGATGTTATCACACTCCTGAAGGAGACTGACCCGGACGACAGCCTACATTCGTGGCGAAGACGCTGCACAAACTGCCCCCCGTCACGTTCGACCACGTCGATGTTATCAGGCTGCTGAAGGATATCACTTCCCTGAAGTCAAGCCTGGCCGAGTTGCAGTGTAGATTGGAGGCTTCAGATAACACCATAAGTGAGCCTTGTGCCCAAGTTGCGTTTATTAAGTAGTAGTACTACATACGTAGGTCACCAGAAGTCTCTAATGTAAACACGCGTCGTGGAGCGCAAAATGCATCCATCAGCAGTGTCGAGTCGGCACAAATGGTTGCGTCACCGATGGCTGCTGCCGTCGCGCGTGATGTGCCGTGTCCTGCTGCCCGCGCTAGCGCCCCGGCGGAGACGTCACGCGTATACATCTCAGCCCCTGCACGTGCTTACGCCGCTGTAGCCGCTTCTACCAGCCGACCCGCCACTTCGAAACTCGAGAGGCGGCAATCGGCTAAGAGTAAAAGTAATCCCCGTGTCAATGCGACGAGGACGGCTTCACAAAGATAGTGAAAAGGAAGAGGAAGCTCACCAGCCATAACCTGTGTGGCGCAGCACCGACAGGATCGAACTTTTTGCTCCGTTCGGCAACACCGACGACGCTGCCGCTGCTGTACCTGTCGCGACTACATTACTCCACGAAGTCTGAGGAGATAGTGGAGTACATCAGGCTAAAAGCTAAATACACCCTGAGGGTCGAGCGGTTGAAGTCCCGCCACAACGTAAATTTTAATTTCTTTGTAGTGAGAGTGCCGACCGAACATCTATCGATCTTCATGAAGAAAGAGTTTTGGCCGAAAGGTGTCATATATCGGCGATTCCGCGGCCGGTGACCTGACACCAGATTGCGCCACACGTCGCCGACAATTGCAATACGTGTACATTAGTATGTACGTGTAGTATGTATGTTAGTCCTTAATGTATATATTACATGGATCATGTGGTCTGAAATAAATGTATACATAAATAAATAAAATAAAAAAATTGCATATTTTGTACCCTTTACTAACTTTCAATATTTATATAACGTAAATCACCTGCTACAAAATGTTTTAATGCTTCTTTTTGTTACGATTTACTACTACGCAATGGCGTAGCATCATCGTAGGCCAACCTTAAATTTGCCGCCCCTGTATTTTCACGATTACGAAGAAGATTATTAAGAAGTTGGCGTCTTTATTAATAGAACTTTAACAAACGTTATTTCGGAAAAAATAAATTCGAGTTTGTGATAGGTTATCCCATTGCGCTTGTCACCCTGAAACTAAGTTGACAAGTCCCATGTGCCTGTAATTTCACCAGCGCCTTTACCATTCAAAACTGGAACGCAGTAATGCTCACATTACCGCTTGGCGGCAGAAATAGTCAAGGTGGCAGTACTTTCCCGAACGAACTCTTTCACAATGAGCTCTATTGCTACTGAAATGATATTATGCATACATGAACTGCTGAGGAACATTATGTAAGTTTCTTTGAGTGTGGAACCCTCATTATATCATCGATTCGAATACATTGAACAGAAAACGTGTTAACAAGTACTTACCCTATCTTTTACATGTGTACATACAGGGTTATTTGTAAAATACTAACAACCTCGCAAGACTATCGCTACAACTTTTGTTCCATGACTTTTTACAAAACATAATAAATTGACATATAAATGGGTTGATGATGACGATGATGATGATGAATAGATTTACCAAAAATAAACTTTTAAGTTTTTTTGTACTATCTGACACTTTTTTATCTGTATTTGGAAGAATAAGTTCAAACGTGCAAGTGTCCTCCGCGACGACTCCCACCTCCTGCCGCACAGAATTATTACCGTTTAGAACTATCTATTTAAATTTATTTATTTTTGTATGAAAGTAAAATCTGATGAATTATTAAAAGTCATGGAACAAATGTTGTAGTTTATGATGTTAAAAATAACCTTGTGTAC